TCTCCTGAATTACATCACAAAGAAGAACAATCTTCCCCATTTCATTCTTGCCTGCCACGCCATAGAACATGTCAGCCGTGTCAGCTGTTTGGCCATTCATCAGAGATTTGATCTGGTTGGCCCCTTCACCCCATTGAGTCTGCTGAAAAGCCCAGGCTTCAGTGGTAACCTTTCATTTCTAGAGTGAGAACTGTTGCTCTGCATCTTTCATCCTTGTGCTTGCAAAAGGATTTATGTAACTGTGAAAAGAGGTGATAGTAAAATAGATTTACTTAAAAGCTGAGTGAAGTCTGATGAAGTGGTAGGTGATACACTTGGACTATAGGGTATTTAAAAAAAGAATAATGTTGAGTAGATGCCATGTGTTCTTTAGATTCTTTTCTTTCATCTGCCCGTTACTCTCCCCTGTTCAATCCATACTAACACAAAATAAGTTTTCAAAAGACCAGATTTTCTTAGGGAAAGGAAGAAGCATAAATATTTTGTGTAATATGCCTTTCAGGAACTAAGAGTTGAGTAAATGATCTGTCTTAGAAGTGCAACCAGAATGTTCCTTAGAAACGAGGATCTCAAGACTTCATCTCAAATACTTTTGGGCATGTTATCAGGACGAGCTCATCCCTGGAGAAGGACGTGTTGGAAAAATAGAGTCAGCGAAAGCGAGGAGGCCCTTCAGTGGGATAGATTGGCACAGTGACTGTCACAGTGGGTTTAAGTACAGCAGAGATTGTGAGGATTACGAGGATTGGACAGCGTTTCATTCTGTTTGTACATAGGGTCATTATGAGGCACAGCTGACTCAAGACCCCTCACAACACTAACAAATGCACAGAGGGCCGCTCTGAGTCAGGTGGCTCGGCGGCACCTAACAGTGGTGTAATGTGCACAGCAGCTATGCACAGTGCATTCCGAGAGAGCAAATGATTTTCAAATTCTTCAGAGAAATAAGAGAGATTAACAGTTCTGAATTCAAGGACCTGTTAATTTTAAATCCTTGGTTAAAATATATTTAAGCAAGCATTTGAAAGTTTATCTTCATTACTGTGTATGTTTTGAGGTGAGAGCAAATGTTTTCTATTGAGATAAAAAAACAAAACAGTGATTACTTTGATTAATTTGTTTCCCGACGTAAGCAAGTGGAGTATTTAGCTTTTTATGTGCTTATTTATAAATAACCTATTCCATTGTCTTCATAAGGGAACTCTGGTGGCCTAGTGGTAAAGGATTGTGCTGCCAGTCCAAAGGCAGGCCGTTTGAATCTGCCAGCTGTTCTGAGGGGCAGTTCGAATCTGTCAGCTGCTCTGAGGGAGAAAAAGAGGCAGTTTCATTTTAGGCAGTTTACAGCCTCTGAAAACCCAGTGCAGGGTCATCTATGAGTTGGTTCTGACTTGATGGTACATAGCAATAACAAACACTGTCTTTATGGAGAGTATAAAGCTTATACAGATTTGTTGTTGGTTACCATCGAGTTGGCTCTAGCTCATGGTGGCCTTTGTCTAACAGAGTGTAACACTGTCTGGTCTATGCCATCTGTCTGATAGTTACTATATCTGAACACTTTCCGACTAGTTGAAGGGACTAATTTTCCAGGACTCTTACTAGATAATACTTTGTTGTCATCCATAAATTTTCCATTGGTTGATACTTAGTACGTGACTAGGCCTTTCATCTTAATCTGGAAGCTCTGCTAAAACCTGCCCAGCGTAGTGATCCTGCTGGCGCTGTAAATACTGGTGATGCAGCTTCCAGTGTCCACAGCATACAGACCACCACAGTGTGGTAAGCAGATTGCTGGGTAGTGGATACCCAAATTGCGCCTTTAAATATCCAAATAAATACCACCGAGAAGAGTTAACATTTTCTCCTTGCATCCATGGCACCTAACAATGTGTGGAGTCTCCCACATCACCCAGTGTCCTCATTCTTCTTTTGACCTAGACCATTTATGGAGAAGTTCAGGGAAGGCTTCATTCTTCTAACAAGTTTCCACGGTGGTTGTGATTCTGAGGCATAGAGATTAAGATCTGCTAATCTGTGTTATTTTAATTTATCATCATCACTCATGAAAGGCAAGCAAAGAAAAGTTTGATAATAAGAGGATAAAGATCCATTTGTAGGTTTGGCTACCACACTTCGTATCCTGTAAAAAGGATATACTTAATTTAATAATGATTGAAATTTACCCCAGAACACTGTCAGAGTGATGATTTAGCAGACTAGGCTATACTCAGTTTTCCCAGTGTCTTCATGGTAATCTTTTTGATATTTGAATTTGATATTTTATTTCCTCCTTAACAATCTGATTACTTGTTCTTGCCTGAAGTAGAGAGTTTAAACTTTTTTACGTTCCATGATTTTGATCCTTGATTAACTTTAAAAAAAAAGTTATAACTCATATCCCTTTCTTCCCTTGCTCCTCTTGAAAACCTCCTTTTAGCAAAACAAAACTTGAAACTCCCCAGCTCCTGCCACGATAAAGTATTTGTAATTCCCTGTAAGCCATGACCTTGCTTGGTTCCTCTGAAAGGATAACCTTTCTTGCTTTGTCCTGCTGAAAAAGTTCTACTAATTGTTGAAGATTCAGCTCAAACTGAGCTCAGTCTCCTCATAAACAACTCTAGACGACTAATGCTTTGCTCCCATCATTCTGTAGCACTTACTGACTTGCTGGACTGACTGACTTTTCAATCTTTCTTCTAGGCTGAGTTCTTCAAAGATTTGTTGTTGCTGTTAGGTGCCATCGAGTTGCGTATGATTCGTAGAGATTCCATGAACAACAGATCTGAGCCCTGTCCTGTCCTGTGCAGTCTTCACCGTCTCTGACACACTCAAGCCCATCGTAGCAGTCACTCGGTCAATCCATCTGATTGGGGGGGGTTCTCCCTCTCTTTTGTGAGCCCTCCACTATTCCAAGCATGATCTGCAAGAAATAACCTCTCCTGACAATATGCCCAAGGTCTGTAAGAAGAAGTTTCACCATTCTTGACTCCAGAGAGCACTTCTGACAGTCCATGGGATCTTTAGTATTCTTCACCAACACCACACAACTCAGACATCAGTTCTTTTTCTGTCCACTTTATTCATTGTCCAGCTTTCAGCTGCATAGAGAGTACATGGGAAGAAAACCACGACCTGAATCAAGTACACCTGTGTCCTAAAACTAGCTCCTGACATCCTCGCTCCTCAGTAATTTAGAGAAGTTTCTGACTGCAGATTTCCCCAACGCGGTATGTCTTCTGACTGATTTCCTGACTGCTGGTACCAGTGTGTTGATTATAGATCCAAGTAAGATGAAATTGTTGACAGTTTCAGTCTTTTCTCTAGCTATCATGATGTGGCCTGTAGATCCAGTGGTGAGAATTTTTGTCTTGATGTTGAGATGTAATCCATCTTGAAGGCTGTATGTAGTCTTTGATCTTTTACAATAGCATTTCAAGTCAAACTTGTGTCATCTGTCATACACCGGTTTTTGATGAGTTGTCTTCTGATTCTGATGCCACGTTCCTTCTCTTAAGAGTCCAGCTTCTTCGGGTATTTGCTTACCATACAGATTGAATAGATACGGAGAAAGGGTGATACACACCCTTCCTGATTTTAAACCATGTAGTGTTCCTTTATCTGGACAACAACCTTTTGGTCTCAGTATAGGTTTCTCATGAGCACAACTAAGTGTCCTTGGATTCCCATTCTTCTCAGTGTTAACCATAATTCACTATGGTCCACACAGTCAGATACCTTTGTATAGTCAGTAAAGCCCAAGAGACATTTTTTGGTAGTCTTTACTTTCAACTAGGATCCACCTGACATCAGCAGTGATATCCCTGTGTCATAACCTTTTTTAAACCCACTTTGTACTCTGGCAGTTTTTTTTCAATGTGCAGCATATTCTAGTTGGTTTGGGATGATCCTCAGCAATATTTTGCTTACATGTGATATTAATGATATTATTAAAATATTTCCACATTCTGTATGATCACCGTTTTGGGGAATGGGAACAAATACGGATCTCTTCCAGTCAGTTGACCAGGTAGCTGTCTTCCAAATTTCCTGTCAGACTGGTGAGCATGAGCACGTTTAGGCCCGGATCTGTTAGGAAAACCAGAAACTGTCAAAAATGAAACAATGAATGAACATTGGCATTCTGGGCATTGGTGAGATCAGATGGACTGACTTTGGTCACTTTGAATCAGATAATGTACTATTCCAGGGTTGAAAAAAGGAAGAATAGTGGTGCATTAATGATTGAAAAGATAATTTTAAGTTCCATATTGAAATACAGTGTTGTAAGTGATAGGATACTATCCAGATATATACAAGGAAGGCCTGTTAAATAGAAAACTGTTATTCAAATATAGGTACTTACATACTACAACAGTCTGGTACAAAGGGTGTATTGCAGATTGAGCTGGGGCATGGGGGAGAAACGGCAACAATGAATGAAAGAAAAACATCTGTTGTCAAGGACCTCTCCAAAAATTTAAAGAATAAGTACCTAAGTTTAAAGATTAAGATATGCCTGATTTAAGCGAGGGTATTTACAATTGCTTCTTATGCATATGAAAGTTGAATAATGAGTAAAGATTACAGAAGAAGAAAAAAAAAAAAAGAAAAAACCCGCAATATATACTCACCAACAACTGAAGCCAACAGGGACCAAATTGAAGATTTTTGCCAAATTTTGTAGTTATCAAAGGCAGAAATTATTAAAAATATTACGTCTGAGAGAGAAGATAACTCTTTTGCTTACTGTTATATCACATTATCTGGCATATGGTAGTTACTCAGTAGATATATTTGCTATATGACTATTTATGTGCAGCTTCTTGCCAGTCGGCTACCAAGCTCCCAAGAGGAACTTGAGTAATTTTTATTATGCATTTTAATATTAATACTTAATAAGAATATCTACAATAATAACCAAGTGGTTTCATTACACTTAAGAACATTTGTGTGTGCCAGTGTTAATTGATAAATAATTTTTTTCCCCCCGCTTTCTCCAGGGTGTTTGTGAACCGAAGTTTGGCTATGGAAAAAATAAAGTGTTTCGGTTTTGATATGGATTACACACTTGCAGGTAAGTAATGATTTCTGACTGCTTAGTGGCTGCTCTCATAGTAGGTCCACAGTAGAAATTGAATAGACAGTTACTGATTTAGTGATATTTACTGACGAAGCACTTACTTTCAAGGCGCTTTCTTTGAATTTTAAATATGTAAGTCATCAGCTGTCCTACAGTTTAGCTCATGAGTTTGTACAGATAACTATAGAACATACTATATTACTTTATTTCACTTTCGAGACCATGGTAACAGTGATACAGTGGCATTTAAGATTAATGTGTGTATTTATCTGGGCATTTTTTTTTTGCTTTTACTCTTGTAAATTTTTCTTCAGGATATTTTATATCTCACTCTGACACAAAGTAAAACATTATTCGCCAAAATTTTTAATGTTATTATGGAAATTGTATTCACTTTTCATTGAAATGATTGCTTATATAAGAACGCGTTAAAGGCTTTTTACAAACTAGAATTGTTAGCTTTGTTCATGATCCAAGTCGTAAAAACACCAGCGCTGTGTTGTTTCTCACTTTCTGTCTCTTGACTCTGGGAAGGAATCAAAGTGTTTTAGTTAGTTGCACCATCTTTTCAGAATTTATTGTTTATATGAAAATATTTGCTGTCTGGTGAAAATGCCATTCAGTTTAAGAAGTCGGTGGGATGAAGGTTGAATTGCTTTCCTTGGCCTCTGCTTCACCAAACACAGCATCGTTTTCTAGTGCTTGAGTCCACCTTGTATCTGTTCCAAAAACACACAGGTCAGACAGAGCTCTTTTGTTATCTGGAAGATTGTCATTGGCTAAATTACCAGGCTTTTCTTCCTTCTATATCTTGGTCTGGAAGTTCCACTGAAATCTCTCCACCGTAGATGACGCTGCTCATATTTGAAATACCCGATACTGCATAATTTCCAACATCATAGCAACCTGTAGTATGACAAACTAATAGATGGGTGGTGAATATATGTGTATATATACTAGCACAGAACAAAACTTACTCCTTTATGAGTCCAACTCAAGGCCCTCCATCTGGTTTCTGAGGCTTTAAGTTTTTATGGTAGGAGAATGCCTGTCATTTTCCCATGGAGCAGTAGGTGGATTCAGTCTGCAGAACTTTAGACTAGCGACCTAACTGATTATACATTATGCCATTGAGTATATAGTCTTAGGTTTAAATTACCATTTCCAGCAACAACAGTGTAGAATGAGGTCATTATTTAAAGTAATGAGTCCCACCTACCTTCCCTCTCCCCCTTTTTAAACAAACCAACCGGGACTTGAGCACACAAAAGGGAGGAGGTCTTTGAAGTCGTCTTCTGGAGGTTATATACCTTATTCCAACAGCCATCACTTTTCAGAGCACATAGAAAAAACAGGCTTATTGACTTTATATTCACACCTGGTTTTCAGACTAGTATCCACTTGATTCTGAATAACTTGTGATTATTTAAAGAAGCAACCAAACCAACCTAGAAGTACTTAAACTCTTCATCAGAAAGAACTCTCAGTTGCCAGTTAGTCAACTCTGGCTCCTGGTGGCCCAGGTGTTTCAGGGTAGAGCTGTGATCTGGGGCTGGTTTGTAGGGAACGAATCAGCAGGCTTTTATTCTGAAGTGTCACCCTTTTGGTGAACATTTGTGCTGTTTGTACTACTCAGAAGCTCGCCAGAAATTTAATTTCTTCTTATTTAATCTAAGCTCTTGAATTTATTAACATAAGTGTATGACATTCTAATCCTTTTGATCTCTATAGACCTATAGTGATAGCCCTTTTTATTCCTGATATTGGTAACTTATGTCTATTTTTTATCTTCTCAGTTCAACAAGAAGTTCTGTCACTTATATTGATCTCTTTTCAAAAATTAGCTTTTGGGTTCAGTGATTTTTCTCACGTACCATTTTTTAAAAATGGTTTTTAAAAGAAAATACTTTATTGTAAAAAATATACAACAATTTTAATAGCCAGTTGTGAACAGTTTTGTCAGTAACTTATGTTGTTAATTGGGGCTGATTAAATTTGCGTATTATCCCTTGAGTAGTCTGGTACCTTCAAGTTAGAGAAAAATAAGGGAGATACCAAGAGAAGGGGAGGGATTATGAATAATAGAGAGGAGAACTACAAGGCAAGTTGAGGTCAGAGTTAGATACTTATAGGCAAGCTTGGAGACTGTTTGATGGGAGAATATATTTATTCATTTGAGTTAGTTTAATGCTATGACGGACCTTTTGTGTAAATGATGTCTCAGAAAGGTAACTTTATTTTTTGATGTTTTGGAATATGTTACATGTTCTGAAAATTACTAGAATTTGTATTTCAGCTTTTTAGAAAAATTACAGTAGGATCTAGGATATACATACATAAATATCTGTAATTTCTCATCAGAGGCTCCATTTTATTTAACCATGATAGTGCATTTACCCTTTCACTAGTATACAAATGTATGTGTAGTCTTGATTTCAGTATTCTGTGTGTCTTTATACTCTGTGTGTGTGAGAGAGAGAGAAAGGAGAAGGGAAAGAGAAAGATGGATGAGAGATATTAGGACCCCCTTTATGTCTAAATAGAATTTAAAAGTTCATGATTGATTATTCTTCTGTGTTCTAACATTCATAACACCACTAACAGCATTATGTTCTTATGTTATCTGAATTATAATCTCTGAATTCCTTGCTTCACACATTTAAGAGAAATGCCACTTAACTGTGTGAAGTGAAATTGATGGAGTGCTCTTGTTCATCTTTTTTCCTCCTATATGTTTTTATTTTAGAATTAAGGTAATTAAGAAAGGAATTCTGAATGTTTTTCTCCAGTGTTAGGTTGAAATATATTAAGTAGTTAATATAGTTGTTGTTACATGCTGTTGAGTCACTTGTGACTCATAGCGACCCTGTGTACAATAGCCCTAAAACTTGCTCTGTCCTGTGTCAACCTTATTGTCTCTGACACACCTACCCTCATTACCCCAGTCACTGAATCCGTCATCTCATCCAGGGTCTTCCTCTTTTGCACTGTCCCTCTACCCTTCTGAGCATGATGTTCTTCTCCATAGTAGATGTTATAACTAGCTAGTTCTCATCTTTGTATACTGCTATTATATTACTTAATGGAGGGAAGAATCCAGTAACCTTTTTTACTTGGTCTGGGGATGCGACATGGGATATAAAGAATTACTTTTATTTAAAATAAAATGGTTAGCACTAGTATAAAACTGTTAACTATCTCTGGAAAGGAGTCCCAGTGGTGCAAAGCTTAATTCCTTAGCTGCTAATTGATAGGTGGTGGTTTGAACCTTCCAGATCCAGGATAGAAGACATGCTGGTCTGCTTCTGGAGAGAGGACAACATAGGAAACCATATGGGACATTCTCTGTCACGTAGAGTCACTAGATAGGAATTGACTTGATGGCACAGCAACGACCACATTTATGAATTGGCTATTGTGGGAAGTGAGCCTGCGTGTCTGAGAGTCCTGGTGGCCTAGCCCACAGGGATCTGTTCACCTAACCCAAAGGCTGCGCAGACCTCTCTGGAAGTTCAGATCCAACACTGGCTCTGCAGGAGAAAGCTGGGCAATCTCTTCCTGTGTGGTTTACAGCCTTGGAAACTGGAGTGTCAACTATCAGTCAGTTTAGATTCAATAGCAGTGAGTATTCTGAACTGATTCATGGAGCAGCCAGTTAGGACCGAGATGAGATACTGGTTTTCAGAGTCAGAATGTAGTGAGATAGACTGCAGTGAGCCTTGTATTGATATTTCTGAGATACCTGGAAAGGATGTCACATCTCAAAGGGAAGTTATAAGGGCGCTCAGGTGCCCTAGTGGTAAGAAGCTGCATTGCAATCTCAAAGCATAGTCATGTTCTGGAATAGTTTATTTTTGAGAGAAGATGGATAATGGCTGTTGTGAAGTACTATTGAGTCAGAACTGACCCATAGCTGACCCTCCATTGGGTTTTCAGAGTTAGTAATTGCACAGGAAAAGATTGTCTTTCTCCCATGAATTAGCTGGTGGAGTCAGGCTACATTCCTTTGGATTAGCAGTGCAATTCTTAACCACTAGGCCACCCATACGCCCTGAATAATGGTTAGTGACTTAACTTTGTTGCACTGTATAGAGAAGCTGAACTTTATGAAGAAGAATGTAGCATTAGGATTGGAGGAAGACTCATCAACAACCTGAATTATGTAGGTGACACAACCTTGCTTACTGAAAGCGTGGAGGACTCGAGGCCCTTGTTACAGAGGATCAAGGACTACAGACTTCAGTATGGATTACATCTCAACATCAAGAAAACAAAAACCCAGGGCCAGTAGGCAACATCATGATAGATGAAGAAGAGGTTGAAATTATCATTGATTTCATCTTGCTTGGATCCACAACAGTACCTTTTGGTACTAGCAGACGGGAGATCTGGAGCTGTATAATGTTGATATCAGGGACCTCTCCAAAGTCCAAAGACCCCTCCCAAGAGCAATGATGCCAGTTTAAAGACTTAGAATTGTCTGGTTCAAGCCATAGTCTTTCCTGTTACCTGCTATGCATCCGAGAGCGGAACAGTGAATAAGGATGACAGAGAATAATTATGCCTTTGAGTTATGGTGTTTGAGAAGATTGCTGAATATCCTGTAGGCTGCCAAGAGGACAGACAGATATGTCTTCTTTTTTTTAAAAAAAAAATTATTCTTTTTTTTGTGTTTACTGTCAAATCAGATCTGACTGGTACAGGAGGAGATTATCTCTCCTTCTCCAGCAGAGCATCTGGAGAACAAACAGATATGTCTTGGAGAAAGTGCAGCCAGAGTGCTCCTTGGAGGCAAGGATGACAAAAGTTCACCTTACATACTTTGGTCTTGCTGTTAGGAAAGGCTGTTCCATGGAGAAAGACATCATGCTCAGAAAGATGGAGAGTCAGTGAAAGAGAAGACCTCAATGAGATGGACTGAGTCTGCATCAGTGGACACAAGTGTGTCAGGGATGATAAAGATGTTGCAGGTTAGGATGGGGCTCAGATCTGGT